CCAGCCAGGAGTGTGTTCTATTCATGTACCCTCCAACTCTGCCCTCCAACCTGCTGTATAATGGTAGGATGGAGCTCCCCTTTGATGAGTAAGAACATTCCCCTCTGTGTCAAAGGGGACAAGCGTCAGCACAGCTGGATGTCAGCAGGGCGAATGCTCATTTAGCACAATGAGGCCTCAGGGAAGCATTTAACTTTTTCAGACTTGTAAGGTTTTCACTCAAAAATATTTACTTTGGTATTTGCCCTGTCTTGGGAGGGGAAGAAACCTGTTCAAATGCTGCACAGAGGCATTCCACAAACAACTGGTGTTCCCCGTGTTCACCTGCTGCTTCCTGGCTGCCACATGGCCACTTGGTGACTTTGCCAGGTGTTTTGAAAGGCGGCTGCAGAATGGAGAGAGGATTGTGACAGCATATATTGGAGGCCAGTTACTTCACTGCTGGAAGAGATATGGCCATACTAAAATAACTAGATGAGAAAGCGATTACATTATTTAGAGCTAAACCATACACTAGAGCTGATAAAACCTTTGAGTTGATTCAAGAGGAAGGCATGGGATCAGACACAGCATCTTAGATCCTCTCTCCCAGTAGGTAACTGTTCTCTTAAATTGCTCCAGTGGCCACTGGTATGATTTTGTCCCACAGCACACCGTGCCTCCCCAGCAGTTCCTGGGCATGGTGCAGGTAGTTGTGCAGACCAGAACCCATCTGAGTACCACGGAGGCTGGAGGAGGTCTAGGAACAGACCCCACCATGCCATGCGGCTGCAGGGCTGGAGAGCCACTCCGGGGGGGGGCTTTAATGTCCCCGCAGAGATGTGGCCTTAGGGCAAGACTTGTGCTGTGGACATGCAGAAGAATGCATGGGAGAGGGGTATGCTTTCACGAGGGTAGCCCTGGCATCAGGGCAGACCCGTTGCCGCTGTCAGCTGGGAGCTGTGGTCGAGCGCGGGGCAGCTCCATACACAGGGCCCCCCAGCCAGCCGCCAGCTGAGGCCTTGGCAACTTCTTACAGGAGCAGAAATTATGTTTTCCCAAGTTCCCTGAAAGCATGGATTGATTAGTCAGAAATCCTGATGATGACCCTGATCACCGTGGGCCACACTATTCCTGTGGCCAGGGCAGCAGGGACACCCCACGGGCTGGGGGTCACCTCTGGCACAGATTGCTCCTCTTTGCCTTCCTGTCCTCAGCCCCTTTCATGTCCCTTCTCATAGCAGTGGAGAGTTTAACTCTATAGAACAAATCCTGGTGTAACCCGATGGTGTAGTTTGCCCTACACAGTCGTTTCCACTCCAGTCCAGATCTTGCAGTGCAAAACCCCCAAATCCTCATCTTTCTGGCCTAAACTTTTCCAGTTTACATAAAGCTCTTGAGAAATCCATAAAAGACTCATAAAGATCTTGGTGGCATTTTTGTCAGAATAGCAGCAGCAAACTGCACACACGCATATATATATATACACGTATGTGGTTAGTGACACATTTGTAGGGCTGGAGTTTGGAGAAACAGAGTAGTCTTGTAACTCTTCTGTTTACATAACAAATTCAGAATGAGGGAACCACATGGTAGGATCCAAGTAATTGTGTTTACTAAATATGCACAGCGTGCAAGGCCAGGCTTAGTTATATATACACACTCCTGCTCCAACAAGATTTTGGCAGCCTCCGAAACATAAAAGGCCTTGAGTGACTTGAATTGTACCCTCATTGTCAAGCAGGAGTCTCAAACATGGAAAATACACAGCAAAAGAAGGCCAAGCTGAACATACATGCATGCCTAATTCAGGGGACTCAGGAGCAGGGAACAGCTAAGTAGAGATACACCATAAATGAGCTTTTGCCTTCCTACCTTCCAGGGTAAAAGTGGTGCAGATCCAATAGACCTTTGGAGAATTTCTCAGTTCTTTGTTTTTTTCCAAGACGCATAGCAAAAAGGGAATTTCTGTTTACGTTCTCACAAAGTAGCTGGCTAAATAATTCCAGATGATGGAATTTTCTTCTGTCCTTAAAGCAAAACAAAATCTTAACCTTCACCACTCTTTAAATTATATTAAGACTATGATAAGAAATCTTACTTTCAGCATTCAAAAAGCAGTTAATAATAGCATAAATTTGGAAAAATAACCCTAACTCCACCCCTGTGTCCATGTGCAATGCAGTCTTGGATTGTATGTTCATACAGTCTTTCTTTGGGATGTCTTCTATTTTTCCCCAAAGTTTTTAGGTAACAGCTGTAGCCATTTTAAATAACAGCTGTAACAGCTTTTAGCATGTTATGTCTCTATGAATTCCTGAAAACTAGTTGTATGGAAAGGACACTATAAGACTATTACTAACTGCATGTAATGCTCATAACAGTGAATTCTGAAAAAAAAAATGGGAAATAGTGATTTTCATCCGTTGTTAGGCCAAATATATTTGTAGCCCATTTTCAGACTGAGAATATGAAGTCATCTTTGCATCTTTTTCTTTACAGGATGCTGTAAAGAAGAAGTGTTTTAGCTTCCTTTTTGTTAGCTTGGCAGACAAGCTGTTTGCCACAGTTTTTCACATGTTAAAGAAACCGAGGAAAAAACAGCTTAAATAGAAGAAAAAAAATTATATGTGAAATTGTTGATTTTAATAAATAAGGTGTAAACAAAATGTCATCATAAGTACAGCTCTAGTGATTAATGATTACAGGTGTACCTGCTTCTGGTTTTGGACAGGATAGACTGGAAGCTATGTATGTCATTCCTGATATCATGTACTGTCTAGGATTTTATAATTTCAGACAACATTTCAAAAGGAAACCTTTTTTTTTTTAAAAAAAAGAACACTAGTTTAAAGTGAAATGCCATTGTACAATATCAGCTGGAAATGGAAAGTGTCATGTCAATGTACTTCACCACAGTGATGTACCTGAGTGAAAAAATTTAGACTTTTTTTACACAATCAAGAATCTACTCATTAACTTCCATATGTTTAAATGTCACTGTGAGACTTTTTATCCCATCTATCTCAATTATATATGGCACATGTACTTGAAAACCGTATGTGTAGACTTCACATAGGTATGTCGGGAGACACTGGCACGTGCAAATAGCCCGGTGCTGTCTGCACTCCTGCTTCCAATACCTACCCACTCGTTTTTTCAGTCTATCAACAACTGTATACAGTTTTTTCACAAAAAAATGTGTCACATTTACAACCGTGGTCTCTCCTTTTACTAACAAATATGTGATAACAGTACTTTTTTTTCTTTCAAAGTTTTGTTACCCAAGCATGCTACATCTCTTTGCCAGGGAAGCATCAGGGCAATTTTAAAGGATTGTGAAAGTGATAATACTTTTCTTATTGTGCTGTGCTTTTCCTGAGGAAGGTACAGATGTCTTCCTTTTCTCACATTTTCCCTGCTTCTTTCCAGCTTTCTCAGAGTGTTTTCATGAGGCAGACTCTATGTCATCCAATTATTTCCTGAAGAAAACTAGAGAGATAAGCCTTTGAAAACCGAGCCAGGACTCCAGATTTCTCTCACTGTATTAAATCATACTGATCAAAAAAATAGAAAGATATAGAAGCACAAAATTAACAGTGGGACAGAGAGAGCGGGAAATGGGGATCCCTGGATATAATATTACATGAGATGAGACCGTCCAATATCAAGCAAATTTATTTGGACAGAGAGGGAATTACTGGGTGTGTAATACTGATTAACTATGTTGGAGAGAGACCTTGCCAAGCAGCGTGTTTTGTTCAGCCTCTGTATAAAGAAGAATAGGAATGTAGGTAAAAGGTTAAATATTAAAAAAAAAAAAAAAAAAAGTGCCTCACTCCTCCTTGTTAGCTAATCCTTGGGCATCATCTGCATGACCCAGAGTAGTACAGTTCATTTCTAGGAAGGAGTCTGTCCCAGCTCCCATGAGCAAGAGATTTCTCTGTTACCCTGCTAAAATGTTTGGAGGGATATTTATTCACATGAATGAGACTGTGCATAAATGTATCTGGGATCCTAAGTATTTAGTGTTGTTTAAGCTCCTTATACTGCAAAGACATGGTATTTTTTTAATGCCATATTAACTGAAAAACATTTTATTGAGGAAAATACACAAGGTTATAGGTCAGACTCCAGAAAAAAAAAATATATTGTCTTAAAATCACAGCCACATAATTTTTCCGGTCCTACTAAGGCGTATGGACATAGTTTGAAACCCAAAAAAAGGCTTTTAAAAATGTCTAATACACAGAGCATCCCTAATGACATTTCTTCCCAGCATGAGATGTTGTGTGTCACTTCAGCCTGACAAGTCTCAACTCCCAGTTTGGATGAACTCTGGAAGTGTTTCTCACCGCTGTGTGCTGCTCTCACAAAAGTGTTTGAGTAAGCTACAAAGCAATACACAAACCATCAAGCACGCTGGTGGGGAAGCCTCCTAATTTCAGGCTGTTTGGGAGATGAGTATCCGTCGGTTTAGAGTACCTCCAGCAAACCAGAAAACTGTTTTGAAAGAGGCTTGTATAAGGCAGTAAAGGCACACATCAGCTCTTTAAATAGGCAAGAGGCTCTGGGGGAGCATTTCTGCATGACCAGGGAACTGTTTTATCATAAGTTTCTTCAGAAAGTTCTCATGCTTTTAACTTTACTTATGACTATCCTTTGCCTCATCAGGTTATATTTAGATGGATAATTCACAGCTCTTTCAAGCTGTAGCTGTTTGTAGTAAAAGCGAAATTAAATCACCTATTTGAGACTATGGGCTTTGTGAGAAGGATCAAGGGGCTGCGAAGCAGCAGCTCATGGAGATGCCCTCCTTTCCCTGCCAGCTCAGAGCTCCAGGCAACATTTTGGGGGCTGTCCTGTGGCTGTTTTCCGGGGGATCTCCTGGTCCCCAACATGCGCCAGAAATCCAGATGCCTGGGTGGTTATCCACATGAGTCCTTCTGCATATCTTTTTTTTTTTGCCAGTTGATATCTGGGATGTACTTGGATTTTATGGACTATAATGTATTTTTCAGATGCTGCTCTTTAATTAGCGGGGAAGAGACTGACACTGAGAACGTGCAGCCTGACAAGTACGCAAGTAAAGCACGCCCACCTTTGTGCATGTGAGTTTGGTGTTTGGGAGGGCAGGGAAGCCAGAGACCTTGGCGCAGGTCCCTCATGCAGCGCAGGTTGGTGCTGAGTGAATTTCCCAAGAGACTGCACTGTTTGTGTCTGGGCTTGGACCCTCTGCATCCCTCCATCCTGGGAGTGTCCCTTGTCCTTGCAGTGCAGGGGGTTCAGGAGACTGACACCCTGGCCCTAGAGCTGGGGTTAGACTGCTTCCAGCCTTTCCATGTGCTGCCTGGGCCAGAAATTCCCACCTGTAATGCAGGAGGCAGCCCAGCTTTGCCCCCAAGTGTGTTTTTTGATACCTTGAGAGGCTATACAGTACTTTCAATTTGCAGAAATCTCTGATGTGTTACTAATCACTAATTTTGAGGGGAACCCATTAAAGACATCACCAAGTGAAGAAGATGGGCATTTCAGCACTTGGGATGTGAAAAGTCAAAAGGTTCTTCCCAGTAAAATGATAGATCAATGCTTAAAGTAACAAGGCCTTGACATCTCCTTCCTAATGCCATATACTCTACCAACTGTGGGAATGATGCTCACTCAGAGCCTGTGTTTTGGCTAGCAAAAATCCTGCGTGCCTTAATATTATTTATGTCTGTTTTTCTCCAGAGCTCTTTTTGGTCAGGACTGTGATTTATGTTGTTTTTATTCCAGCTACGCAGGAGATTCTTTGACGGATTACAATCTGAGCAAACTCCAACTCAAGAAGAAGAATGACAGCTAAGAGACTTAAACCAGACTTTTCGCCGTCCTGGAAAGGAACTGGCTGCCAGTATTTGGAGTTTTTTTAATACTCTACCTCCCTCTGCTGTTATCAGTGAGAAGTTCCTCGACAATGGGAAATCATGTACTTGCGGCTTCGATTTCCATGCTCTCGCTCCTGGCAATGATGGGAGACACAGACAGTAAAACAGACAGCTCCTTCATGATCGACTCTGACCCCAGCCGCTGTATGAGGCATCACTACGTCGACTCCATCAGCCACCCCCTGTACAAGTGTAGCTCGAAGGTAAGGACTTCCCTCGCCCCTTTGCAGCAGGGTGCTGCATGGGCAGAGTTGTTAAAATGAGCCATTTTGGGTGATTTTTCTCTGCATAAATTCCTTGCTACCAAAATCCATCTGCGGAGACATACAGATGTAGAGCCATATGTGTGTGTACATCAGAACTGGGGCTGGAGAGAAAGGCTCTTGAGTCTCTTTCCACTTTTTCAAAGGGAAAAGCATACCATGATGGTAAAGCTAACATGCAGTAAATTACAAGTTTCAAAGGTGCGCGTTGTGGGTGTCAGCCACCAGCACCAAGGATGTGGGCTAGTTTGGAAGTTTAGATCATCCCAGTCACCCCCTCCTTCAAGTGAATCTTTAATCTGGAGTATATAAACACAATTTTCAAGGTCAAGTACTGAGAAAGAATCAAGATGTAAAATGGTAATGAAAAAAGAACGTGAAAAACATTATTATTTTTTTCCCCATTTATCTTCAAGGCCTTTGTTTTCATGCAGAACATCAACTGGATGTTAAGTGTAGGGCTTAGGAGCAGAATGAAATACAAGATTGCCTTTCATTTGAGAATTCAAGCAAAAAAAATTTTGTGTCAAAATGGTTTAGCAGCCTACACACGTAGCCTACAGCCATTTATTTCATTGCATGGAGAAGAATGGGGAGAAACAATGAGAAAATCCTTGCTGGTCCCTTTTGTCTTGTTCTAATTTGTTCCGGCTGAGTTAACGCAGTGCGTATTCAGACGTACAGTCTCTGCTTGGACCATCCCTTTGTCCCACAGATAGTGTCTTTGCCTTATGCACCCACATCCCTGGATTAACAAAAGGGAACAACTGCCAGCGCCAATGCTTTTGCTAGCCCTGTGTTGGTAAGAGAGCTATGGGAGGTGGGTGGGAGATCAGAATCTTTTGCCCTCCTGCTCTTGAGTTCAAACAGTAAAATCATGCATTACTTGTGATTCAGGAGAGATCAGACAAAAGACAATAAACACAACAGGTCCCAGTCCAGCCCCTGAGGCAATTCAGTCTGTGAGGATGAAGGATGGGGCTTCTCTGACTCAGGGACAAAGGGATCTCAAGTCCTGGTCTCTCCTCTCCTGTGGGTCATCACCCACCCACACACCCACCTCCATTTCCCAGCCACAGCAGGTTCCCACAGCATGGCTTCGCCCCCATCTGGCCCTGTATCGCTGCCAGCTCTTCAGCAGCCACCACCACTGCCAGCCCCTCCTGCCCCCAGGACAGCCAGCACTTGCCATGGGGCTGCTGCCCCTGCACCCCTGGACCCTCAGATCCGCACACTCATGCCTGCCCTGCAGCCAGCCCACGCCTCACCTCCAGCCGCACTTCTCTTCCCTGCTCAGGGCATTGCTCCCTACATGGCCCAAGGAAGGAAGGAAGGAAGGAAGGAAGGAAGGAAGGATACCCAGTAACAACCCAACTTCTTAACATCCCTCATGACAGAGGAGAGCAATCAGGCCTTTAGGAGTGATACTGATCGAAATGAGAACAAGGAAGGCATTGTAATGAAAACCATATTATTTCAAAACTGAGCTTTGGGAAAAAAGCTGTTGACATAAACATTTGTAACTCTGACTGCAAAAATGTTAGTGACTTTTTAAAAATCAAGCCTTTAATTGAAATCATGTTTGAAAATATTATAACTTCTTTTGGCTTCCCAAACTTCACAACCATTTCAAGAACAGTTTTTTAACAATACTTCAAGTTGTGTGGACTTTCTCATGAAGTGGAAAATGAGACCAGTTTCCACACAAAGCAAAATAATTTTGATATTTCCTGTTTGTTAAATCAAGCTTTTTTTTTTTTTTTTTTTTTTTTTTAAATGTGTCAGGGATCTGAATCATCCTGTTAGACATGTGGCTTCGGCTTCTGTTCTGGATCTAGCATATAAACACAGATCAACATTAGAGTTGCTAATGACAATTAGATGCAATGTCTGTTCCTATATATATTGTGATAAAACATAAACAAGTCAAAAAAAGGAAGGTCCTTCAGGAGTAGCTGTGGGAATTGTGGTACCTCGTTTCCACTGAGTTTCCATTGTGAAGCTTGGACTGACAGTTGATGTCAAGCAGAGACTTTGCCCTTTTTTGGCATTATACCTTGGTTCCACTGAACCATCCTTTTTCACTCCACATGTTTTCCTTTTTAGTGCAGCATAAAATTACAGAAGTTAAAAATGGCTTCAGAAACTGCAAGATGTATTACATTTGCTGTCCGTCTTGGTTAAAAAAGGATTATGTCCACCATGCTTCTCTGTGGAGGCTGCCAACTGCCCACATGGGAAGTAGTTTTGTTACATTTGGAAACATCCACCCAGTATAATTTAATCATTAAAATCCCTCTTGCTTGTGACCTCAGGCAGATGTTGAAAACAGATTTCCAAAGCCTTTGGAAACATAGTCCATTGTTGTAACAGAATGTATAAGAGAGACACACAGGAGGGATGGAAGAAGGTAATTTGTTCCTGAAAAACAGTGTTTTCCTTTGACTTCAAGGAAAAGTTTGTGGCAGCTCATGAGGTACTACCTTTTCTGACCATATTGGATTCTGCGTGACCTCTGTCACGGAGACCCGCTGGTCTGCCATGTGCTGGATCACCTTGCTGCTGCAATCAGAGCCTCCTAAATCACAATATTGGCTGTCACAAGTGCTTCCTCCAGATGTGCCAGAAGAGTGCTACTACTGACAGCCTTGCACTAGAGAATCCAGCCCAGAGAGGCATGGACCAGATGAAGAAAGATTTAGCAAATGTTTGAAGACATTTGCTCATGAGGTAGCTCAGGAGATTTTCAGTAAATCGTGCTCATAGCCACGCCATAGATACTGTGTGAAAGCCTGTTATCATGCATCTCAGCCCATCTGCTTTTGGGCCTCAGCTTGTTGCTGAAGAGGACTACAAACACCGTTACTATCAAATGAGTTCACAACTTCTGAACTTCCAGAATACAGCTCAAATTATTAGAGTTAAATATTGCCTTGGATTCAGGTTGCTCTCTTTTGTGGATGTCCAGATACCTGTGAGACTGCTGACTTTAAGTAAGTAAACCTATTTTTCCCTAGCTGCTCAAACACATGAGAGCCCCTGCAGCTCCCACATTGTAGGGCGTGGTGCTTCCAGATCCAGCATTGCAAGGTGACACACACAGGCTCACGTGTGAGGGGGACGAGGGGAGCCAGGAGGCACACATATCAGGTTATAAAATACCCACACATTTTTACTATATATACACTCACTGTATTACTGTGCTATGCCATCATAGCATGACTAATTATTTAGGTGATAATCTCTATTGTGCTGCAGGATACAATGCAATAAGCAGATGGTGCCATTGATTAAATGGCAAGCCAAAGCTTTTAAAGTACATGCTATTTCCAGCTCATTTGCACACCTGACGAAATCCACTGGTGCTGTTCTGACGTATGAGGAGGAGGTGGTTAAATTTTGCTGAGGATTTCAGGTTAGTCTAGAAGTTTAGAAAGCCATCAGAATGGGAAATTTGATTTTTTTTCATCCTGCAAGCTTGACTTAATACACATGGTGTAGTGTCATTTGTAAAAATTTACACTGTAATGCAAAACTAGAGCATAAACCCAACACTTGTGTAATTTTACATGTTATGAATACTGACCGTACTCATGAAAAAACAAGTAGTCAGCAAAATTTGACACTAAAATCAGAGTCTCCACAGACTAAAACATGTTTTTAAAGAAAGGCTTGCTAAGCAATTATAAATGCAGCTGCATATAGAATAAATATTGACTGGTTTTGCATTAGAAATCTTGCTATTCATAAGAAATGTATTCAGACACAGATACCGGTACATAAGATAATTCTGCCCTAAAATTACACTGCTGCAATTCTTCTGTAGTCCTTAATCCTGTTCCTTGGGGGTTGGTTTGGTTTTTTTCCTGGCATTTTGGAAAGTACCTGCAGTTACAGGAGCAGATGCATGCCATAAAAAGTCCTTAGGGTAACAGTACTGGAGTGACTAATGGTTCCATTTCCAGAAGCATCAACCATCAGAAGTCACCACCATACAGCAATGTGTGCTGTCACATTTGGGCTGAAATCACAGAATCATAGAAGTGTTGTTTGGAAAGGGACACTGGAGATCCTCTGAACCTCCCAAAAAGCAACTTGTGCCCATTGCATGTCCTCTGTTGCCACTCCTGAGGAGTGTTTGGCTCTGTTGTCTTTGCAACTCTGAGCAGTTGCCAGCTGCTATTGGATTGCTCCTCACCCTCCTCTTCAGCCAAACCCATGGGAATATCCTGTGACAGAGCATGCTGACAGATCAAAGTGGGGGGCCTAACAAGAGCTGTCAAAATGCTGGGAAGGAAACCAATGGATCTGCTGTCTTTCCTTTGCAATACAGTCAGGTTTGGATACCTGTGTAGCTCTTCACCAGGTGCCCGCCTGTCACTATGGGAACTGAGGTTTTTTTACCAGGGGACAAAAGTGGATCTTCATTGGTCAGTAATGGGTTGATAGCACTGTAATAATTGTCCCTTTCCTTGTTCTCGTATACACTAAAGACACTGGTATTAAGGAGCTTGACATAGCTGATACATCTAAAGCCAAGCTGTGGCTCAACACTACACTGAAATTTTCTTCCCACCATATTGCTACTAACAGCTGAATAGGCAGCATCACAGGAACAGGACCACAAATTTATGCTACAAATCATGCAGGATGGTAAATTTATTGGAGAGCCACAGGAACCCATCTCTTAATTGAACCAAGGAACAAGATGTTACCAATATCAGATCATCAGCTCATGAAGACATCTTCCTTGTGATCTGTGTTGACTGAAGTGTACTTGTTAGTATATTAATACATTTCCAAGCAAACTATTTAGCATGCAAGTACACCTGGAAAAGACAATTTTAATCACTGTGCAAAGTAAGTTCTTTATGGATGATCGGTGGCTTTCCTATGGACACAGGCAATGCTGGTATTTCCTACTTTATACCAGGAGTATTCTCAATGTCTTTCTCCCTCATCTTTCCTCATGACTCTGACTAAAGAGAAAATTAAACATTTGACATACCTGCCTGCAAGACTTGGAGATTTGCAGACAATTGATTATGTGTAGTGAAAGAAGCTCAGAAGTGTTTAATGTTGTAAAATATTTACTGTCACATTTGTAGTTATCCTTTTAGATTGTCTGGAAAAAACATAAGATGTGCAGCATGGTTAAAATGCAATTTTCTTCTTTAGTTACAGGATAGACGTACAACTGTTCTACTGACTACTTACCTCTGGCATATTTTGGCCTTGTTGGGATGACACAATAAGTTTATTTTGAAGTTTGTGTTGATTAATGAGAATTAGCTGATCTGGACTTAAATAATATTTCATTCTCCATGAAGGTTTAAGAGTCTGTTTAAACTTGTCCAACACTTATCCCATATTAAGGTGGCAACAACCGTTTCTAACCATGTTTTCCTGAGTTATAGGAGATCCTTTCCGTGTTCATAGGTGATCTTTGTAAAATGAGGGAACTAGAAATTTACTTCTTTAGCAGCAATAAACTAAGCATCTTCTTTATACTTCTACTGTATATGCTTATATATCTAAGCATTTGAGAGATTCACTGGCCTCCCAGGACCAGTTCTGCTGATCACTACTACACACACTTGTGACGGGTTTGCCCTTGTCTGGGGGCCAACCCACACACACCCATTCAGTCAGTCCATCCTGTCCCCCCTCCCCTCACCCGAGGATGGGGAGAGAATTAAAGAGGTAAACGGGAAAAAGGACTCGTGGGTTGAGATAAGGACAATTTAATAACTAAACTACAATAATATCAAAAATAATACTACATACAAATATACAAATGAGTGATACACAGTGATACTGCCCCCCCACCCGATGACCAAGGCTCAGCCTGTTCCCGGCTAACGATTCGTGAGCAGGGAGAGTCCCGAAACCACATTCACGGAACGGAGATAACAGTCCGAGTGTCCCAGACCGAGAGCTGACCGGAGGCATGGCGGGGGGAAGGCCTTGGGAGAGCGACCACCTGGAGCGAGATGATCTGAAGCAAAAGGGGAGCCAGAACAAAAAAGGGCCAATCTTTCGGAGGGTCCTCACCTATATACTGGGCATGACGTGTATGTTATGGAATAGATTATTGGCCACTTTGGGTCTCAATCCCGAACCTAAGATCAAATCCTAGGCTAGCAACTGAGGGTGTGCTCCCTCCCAGCTTCTCATGTTTGCAGACAGCCAGAGAAGCTGAAAGACCTTGGCAGCCATGTAAACATCACTTTATATCAGCTTTCGTCTGAGCACAAATCCAAAACACAGCCTCTTGCTAGCTATTATGAAGAAAGTTAACTGTCCCAGCTTAACCCAGGACAACACTCAAAACATTGGAAAATATCCAACCCAAGTATCAGTCTGGCTGATGATTTAAGATCTCGGCTGCCACAAATCTGGGGTCAGCAAGTCCATGCCTGGAAAGCAGGGCTGGCTTTGGACCCCCAAGGTCAGCTTTCAGAAAACCAGGCCCTGTGGTCCTTTATGGTGTTGGTGCCTGGACCTCCAAGAGGAGCCTTTGCTTTTCCTCCTGCCCACGTTGCCTCCTCTGCTTGCTCAAGCACAGCTCGTGGGCAATGCACTGTGTGGGGCTGGGTGCCCTTGCTGAGGTGGGGAGATGCAGTAAGTGAAGGGAGACCAGCCAGACTGGAAGGAGGTCCCCATCTGCTGGTGCCGGTTGTGCGCTGGCAGACATGGGGACACATTTCCTCACCCGTCTCTCTTCCTTCACAGATGGTGCTGCTGGCTCGCTGCGAAGGGCGCTGCAGCCAGACGTCACGCTCGGAGCCCATGGTTTCTTTCAGCACTGTCCTGAAGCAGCCTTTCCGCTCCACCTGCCACTGCTGCCGGCCCCAGACCTCCAAGCTGAAGGCCATGCGGTTGCGATGCTCAGGGGGCATGCGGCTCACTGCCACCTACCGCTACATCCTCTCCTGCCACTGTGAGGAGTGCAACTCCTAGGGATGTACCTGCTGCAGCAGTGGGGGACCAGGATGCTGCTGTCAGGGAAGGCTCCCAAGAAGAAACTCAAGGTGAGGCCAACGTTCCCAGCATATGACTGCAGCAAGGACAAGACTAAACAGGCTGGTTTGGATCTGAGAGATAAAGCATAAAATATCCTGGGGCCCTGGATGGTGCCGGTACCAAAGCGTGGGCTGTGACAAAGACCAAAGCATGAAAACTTGTTTTTAAGAAGCCTTTCTTTTTTTCTGAAAGGATATTTTTGTGAGTTTCTTCTTTTTCAGGCTCAGTACTGACTACAGAGAGGTGCTTTTACTTCAGGCCAAGGGCAGCAGGGGAAAAGAGGAAGGTCAGCTGGATGGCAGCACCGTGCTCTAGGAGCTGGAGTTTGGACAGAGGATGGGCATCAGTTCCCACATACGACCTCTTAACCTATACATTTTTTCCCAGTCTCCTAGTTATATTGGCCTTCAAAACAAACTGTGTTGTTGGCAAGGGCTATCTGTTACTGATCTATCAGCCAAGCGCTGGATAACTTTAACTGTGGTTTAGCAGAAATTACAAATAAATCATTGAAAAGTGAACTGGATATGAAATGCAGATCTGGGACTACCCAGCCCTCACCAGCTGTGGGGATTGTTTGCAGTGTGTAGCATCACAGCTCAGTGGCTGAGCAACTCCTGAGAAGTGAAAGGTGATGAGACTCATTATTCCTGCCTAAAAGCCTGGACATGTGACACATCACATCTGTCACAAAACACTAATCAAAAATTAAAATGACGCATACTAAATGGAGTCTTTTCTTAACTTGGGTAGACCTGTTGATGTACAGACCTAGAGCCACCAGAATAATGACCAGACTTAGGACTTATTTTCATCTCTCTGAGGCCATTGAGTACCATTTTGCCTTTTAAAGAAAGGCAATCCCAACACAGGGTAATCAGACTGATGTACCCATAGGAAGTTTGAGTCCCAGAGCTGGACCACAAAGGCTGTGTTTTGATTTACCTAATGATCTGCTACCTGGGGTCCTGGTTGACTCACCATCCAGCTTGGCAGCTGCTCAGGGAATCACACAACTCTTGGCTGGGCAATATGCCGATGTGTCCTTTCTGCACACACAAGGATGTGGGGAGGCTGTGGCAGTGTTAGCACGAGTCCAGACCTCGTGGGTAGGTGCAGCTGTCCCACACCCAGGGCCTCAGAGCAGGAAGGGGGCAGTGCTGCAGGGTCCTGCGCTTCTCTGTAAGAAGCAAGTGAGACCATGAGCTGCTTTCCTCTGTAGGCAGAAAGAAATGACCTGAGCAGCTGAATGAATTGCAGTGATTGACAGGATGAAAGGATCTCAAAATAACAAAGGATCCCAAGTTTTGGAATGGTATTTGTAGAGAAACTCTGTCCCTGCTCCATAAACATGAAGTTTTAGGAAGCTTCAGTCACAGTCTCTTGTGACTGCAAGGAAACAACATAACATATTACAGTTCTTATCTCCTTAGAAGACAGTATATTCAGTCAGTCAGCAATATGTCTGTGATGTTCACATAAACCTGGGTAAGGCATTTTTTGACAGAAGTCATGAAGGTGTGAGGAGCATCTTTGCTGTGTAAGGATTCACAGTCAGTGCAGTTTGTACCCCTCAGTAGCACCCACGTGCATAACCCCACAATTATTCTCTGGGAGAGGCTGGAGCAGCTCCCCTGCCCAGCAATGTCCGGTGGGGCACCATGGTATGGAGGAGAAGTCCTGTCCTGTCCAAGCCCAGCATTTGGTCCCTCTGTGCAATTCCATCCAGTCTGTCTGCAGCAAATGCCATACGCAGCAGCTTGGGGACACACACTGATGTTGCAGGGGATCGCCAAGGTCTGTCAGGGAGGGCGGTCATCCTGTGGTCTACAAAGGAGTTAATGTGGATGCCCAGGCAAGGCCAGATTCCTTTGCCACTGCCTCCTCATGGTGAATATGTATTGGATGATGAAGGCAGGCAGGCAACAGGCACTGGCCTTGCAAGCCAAATCCTGGAGCTGGATGGCTGTCAGTCAGAAGCAAAAAACAACAGGGGACAAGTACACCTGTAGACACAGGTTAGAGAGGTTTGTGGTACATAGGAAGGACTGTCTCTGTCTTCTGGAGAGGTCTTGGAGATGGCCAGTTTTCAGCAACACAGAGCTGTGGGCAAACAAAACAGTGAATCCAACTGTTAGAAGCTGACGGGCTCAGATTAAAATGTCAAAACTGGTAGTGATGAGCCCTAGTGAGCTCATTAGACACCACTCATTGTTTCAGCACTGTCAGTCATTCTTTTCACATCTGATGCATGGCCTGAACATCAAAGGTTGAGCGATGGGAGTGTGAGCTGGGCATTATCACCAGACTACTTTATATGAAAGATCATATGTGGTCCCTTTTCCAATCTCTTTCAACATCCACCATCTAAAAATCCCATTATCCAAAAAAGCACCACCCCATACTGTTAATTATATATGGAAAATTCCAGTCCTTATCTGAAACATCAGCAATACCTTTGATAACCAAATAACTATACTGAAAAATATGAGTGACCTCTAAGCCTGGGTATAGGGACTGCTGCACACAAGCAATGCTATGCAGTTATCTAAGGAATGGGGAACATTTTAAGGGTAACCGCTATATCCAGCGTCACCCCCCCAGCCCGGGCTGTACTGCCACTGGCCTTCTCTGCTGGTTCAAAACAGGATGCCGGGGGGCTGTGGCATGAATTTTGGGTGATGATTTGCAGTATTCCCGCATGACTGCAGGATGCAGTAGAGAAGCGTGGACCCAATCGTGGTCCTCTGGTGAGGAGAGAAGAGGGGTTTGAGCAGAGACCATGCCTGAGCCATTTAGAAAAAAAAAGAGAATATTTATAGTGAGAGAAGAGTTTGTCTGGTATTTATTCCCACATCCCCTTGCTGTCACAGTGCCAGAGCTATAATTGTTCCAATCGGTCTCACAGAAGATATTCATGATTCAACAAAAGCTTTTTCTTTTCCCTCTCACACCCCACATTCCTTCCACTTTTGTTCGGTTCCTCTAATGAAATCATCGCCTTGTGACCACAAAGGCTTTTGCCAGGCATAAGTGTTGAGGTGAACTCAACATAATCCAATTTAAGTGTTGAGTCAAATAAATGCATGGAAGCAATAGTACAGAAATTATGAACGACAAGACAAAACATCCTTGTAAATAGCTAGAACTGGATATTAAACAATTAATCAAACTTTCAAATTCTCCTTTTGGCTTTGTCAGGCAATCTTCGTATTAACACTTAAGAAAAGGAGGAGCCATTCTTCAAAACCAAATGCCCCGAAGTTGGTTATAAATCCATATTTTGATACGTTTTAGTGAGTATTTTAGGCAACTAAGTGCTGAACCAAGCACACAAGTGCTACTGATGTTAAAATTCAGGAGGCGTATTGAAGCAAAAGAAAATGAGGCTTCAGGTAAAAACTACAGGATATGGCTCATGGTGAGAAAAGAGTCTTAATGGCACTTGGAGATGAAATGGCTTCCTGATTTCTTAGCCTGACACCACTCTGGATACTTAAGCTCTATTTTTCAAGTCAGACTACCATGTAAGTGCTTCTTAAATTGAACAACAGTGAGGACAGCGTCTAATTGTCCAGATCATTTTGTGGGGCTTTTTCTTTGCTAAAGCATCCTCTCACTGGGACTCAAACGAGAAGGCTTTGTGTCCTTTTTTCCCCTTACTGTGCCTCACTCTTCAGGCACCATCTTCCTTCACAGAAAGGCTGGTTCAGCTGTGACCATATTGGGTTTGCTCAAGATGAGATGTGATACAGACTTTCAACTGTCACCACCCCATGCCCTCCTTTCATTTGATTAAGTTTCTGAGTCCAGCTTGGCTAACTTTTGAAAGCCACCCATCCCAGCAGTGGTGCTACTACATTTCAGCTGGAGTGACTGCACTCATGGAAACCAGGGGAAACACTAGACCTTTGCTGGTACCCTTTGCTTGTAAAAAAAGCCTTATAATGCCCATATATTTTATGCCTATCACAAATAATCTGCAATTTGCCAGGGTAAAAGAGCCCATGACCTAGCAAATTTTAATTACTCTGCTCCCAGCTGCAGTGGGTCTGTTAAGCGCTTGAAGATGGATAGATACAAAAATGGTTTGATGGTTCATGCCTTGTATGAATCATTAAACTGAAGAACTCACTGCTTTCTTGGAGATGTCCACAATGA